ACACAGCACTTTGAGACAAGCTGGTTGCAGTAAAGTTGGAATTAAGTGAAGATTTCAAAGATGCCGAGAGCGTTTTTGGTGAAGAAGAAGCGTGGAGCGTGCGGCGCCTGGCAGTGGAAGGAACCAGAAAATGTGGAGTTTAAAGATGATGATTTGTCTGGTAAGATTTTTATTTATTTTATATTTTATTTATTTTTTTGGCACTATCACAAAAATGTCAAGAGAGGTATTCAATTTAAGGGCCTAGATTACACTATTTTCTGATCTATGGAGTTGTGTTTTGTTTCATTCAAACAAGTTTAACACACAAACCTTGCACATTTAGGCTGAGTTCTTCTCTTGAATAATTTGGATAATTTCAGCTCTGGAATTGCAAATCTCTACTGAACTAAAAGGTAAAAGTAGCTGTTGACATGAAAACACTACATGATGTCACAAGGTGTAACAGAGCATTTTGAGCTTTGGAGAAGTAGACAGAATAATAATAAAGAGTTACGCAAACATGTGTGAATGAAACAAAACACAACTCCAGATCTGTTTTTCATGAGGTAACAACATTATAACATAGATTAAAAAAATAGTGTAATATAGGTCCTTATATTTGATACTTCTCTGGACATTTTTGTGATAATACCAACATGACTTAAAGCTCACAAGAGTCAATTTTACTTCATATAGGACCTTTAAATAAGCGTGCTATGTAAATTCTGTCACCTGCTTGTGTTCATGAAGATGTTATTGCATTAAACTTTTCTACCTCCTTTTCTTTATTAAATTACACTTTTTTTTTTTTTTTTTTTTTTTTTTTTAACTTCATTGACAAAAGTGCAAAAATCACAGGCAAGTGTCAAGACTGGACTCTAAACCCCAACTATATGTCAATAAATACAGTAGACAGATGAGGCATACAAATAAAAGAAAGAAAAAAAAAGCTCAGTCAAAAAGAAATGGCACATGTGACCCTCGCCTTAAGAAAAATATCCATTTTAAGTTGAAGTTGGACAGTCAGATACGCCTTCTGATAGACATACTCATTTTTGTGTGCATTGAACAATGGTTGGTGGAACTGGCTTAAACCAATTCGGGGTCACTATTTTCCTCACCTCTAATAAAAGTACATGTAATATATCCTCAGTGAGTGAGTACATAGATAGATAGATAGATACAAGATAAACAAAAATAAAAGAGGGTTCACTGAGATATCTGCTCTAATAGTGTCTTCTCCTTGATATCACAAGTGTTTTTAATGTAAAAAAATATATATAAATAAAAAAAAAAAAAGGTGGAATCGTCTCTTCATAGATTTTGACCTGTAACTAGACCTCATGGCATTATAGAAACTTTAATGGCATATTAAAGCCATAGCATCTCCATGGAGACACACCGGGCAAGTTTTTAACATATATTTTTTTATTAATCACTTCATGTCGTTTCAAGTTGTGGATGGCACCTCTATTTCCTACTAAATGCTCCAGAAATAATTTTATTTTGTTTACCTAGATCATCACATCCAAAGAAGCACCTATGTAAGAGTCACAATCATGCAGGGTACAAGACTGATTGAAACTGAAATGGCAGCAAAAAAAAAAAAAAGAACATATTTTAATTACAAAAAGAATACCGAAAAGCAAAAACGATCACGATTTTCTAGGAGCCAAATCATGACATCGATTTGATCACGTACATGTAAATTTTGTTATAAATAGTCACTTCCTCTGAAAGTTTGCTTCACTGTGATTGGTTAAATCTGGCTGTCACTCACTCAAAGCCTTACAGAGGTCGACCAATTAGAGAAGATGGAAAAGGATGTAGCTTAAACACACATTTTGGGCACATTTAGTTGCCCCCATCTCACTCCATATTTTTTTATTGAATATAATTTCCCAGCAGTAAGTTTAGTTCTCCTGGAGATGTATTTCATGTAATACTTTAGCTGTCATTGGAGTGTTACTTTTTGGGACTACAGCTTCTCAAATTGCATGTGTATGTAAATCCAAAATGTAAATTCAGGGGATATAATGTCTCGAAATAAATGTGTGCACAATCTTATAGCAGTTTTGAGATCTTGTGACACGAGATCTCTACTCTGCAATGATGTCGTGGCTACAGCAGAAGTTTGTTTGAGTGAATATCAGTCTCCGGTCTCCATAACTGAACAGGTTTTCTGAAGCTAGCGCGAGTTAGTAAATAAAATAAATAAAATATCACGGAGAAGCTCTTCTTATGATTGTTTGTAGACACAGTGAGACAAGATTTCACTCTGAGACCAAGACGCCAAAATATCACAGATCGTCATAAACTTTGACAAATTTATTATCCACAAGGGAAATTATTTGGACACAGTAGTTCACACATCACAATATAATATAATAACAAAGTGTAAAAAGTATAAATGGTAATAATAAAGTCTAAATAAGTAGCAATAATAGTAAGGGACTTTTGTCAAATAAGGCATAATTATATAAATGTAAGTGTAAATACAGTAAAATAAAATAAAATATGGAAATAAAGTAATAAAACTATATCTCAGCTATATACAAGAGGTCGAAAGGAAAACGGGGTTGTAGGGAGTATTATCTGTTACATAAGGGTGAGTTGTTGTACAGTTGTATTAGTTAGTTAGGAAACTGTTGTTGTGTCCTTAGGCAAGACACTTCACCCACATTGCCTAGTATGAAGGCGGTGTGATCGTGAGCGATGGTGGTGGTCGGAGGGGCCGATGGCGGAGACTGGCAGCCACGCTTCCGTCAGTCTGTCCCAGGGCAGGTGTGGCTGCCCGCTGTACCACCACTGTGTGTTGAGTGAATGAACAATGAACTGTGAAGTGCTTTGGGTATCTTGAAAGGCGCTGTATAATTTTAAATCCGCTGTTGATTAAAAAAAAAACTTGGTTGAGTGATCAGATCCACTGACCCACCGGTTGAGATGAATGCTGTTGTTGTGTCCCTGGGCAAGACACTTAACCCACGTCACCCCCAGTGTCTGCGTACTCCGGTGTATGGATGTGTGTGTGTGTGTGTGTGTGTGAGTGGTTCCTTGTTGTAAAGCTCTTTGAGTGTCTTGAAGGTGAAAAAGCGCTGTATAAAAATTTACCGACAACATAACAGACACAGATACAAACATGCATGGTTTGAAAAAGGGATGGATGAAGCAAAGATTATACATTTCCACTCTCTGACTCTACACCTCTGGAATATAAATGCAGTCCTTTATCTCTCACTGTTTGAGCGGAGTGTACGGCGATTCTAAGTTTGATCTTTGTCTCTGCGTCACTCTGAAACCTCTTTAAACTCCCTCTATCGTTGTTTCCAGCTGCAGACTCTTCATTGGACCAGTCGAGCGGTGGAGCAGACGATCAGCAGTCAGCCCCTCCCCCCGCTCCTGGATGTGGAGCAGCGGCTGACATCGAAGTCCCAGTCCCCGTGATGTGTTCAAGGTCCGACTCGGCGCAGGACTGGCCAGCTCTCATGATACGGAACAGCTACTACCACCCCACTGCCCTGGCCCTGATCAGCAGAGCCAAGGTGAACACACTCATCATCACTGTCATTTCCTCTTAGTAATGACTTCTTTGTATTAATATTTATGTTCATTATGTTGTTTTTGTTGTGCATAATTGTGGTAATATAAAGAAATTACAATTTACTATGGCAACTGGCAAAAATAGAAATGTATAAAGCAGTTTATATACAAAGCAGTTCAAAGTTGTGTTAAAATTGAACATGTATTTTAAATAACCTTTTTTAAGTGTGAGTATTTTTGTACCACATAGCTGAGGTGTACTAAATCAGCCTACATTTACTAAACTAATACCTCCTGCTGTTGTGTCCTCGTGCAAAACACATGTCTTCATTTTACTAAAACATAATTAAGATCATTATATTTAAGATTTTACCAAAAACAGTGCCTAATTTGATCACATTTTTCATTTTGGTAAGTTTTATTATTTTACCTTGCATATTTAGGCTTCTCTCAAACACAAAACAACGTGTGATCCTATGTAATACAGGAAGTGCTCCACTGTGTTTTTAAACTCCATACACCTTCACTAGAATGATTTTCTTAGCCTAATAGCAGAGTTGCATAAATCATATTTGAACATTTTCGGACAACAAGAAAAGACACATTTTTTTGAGCAAGCACATTGAAAGTTTAGCCAGGCTGGCGTCAATTTCATTTCTGTCCACCAACTAGGTCAGGAATCGGAATACAGTAGACGGTTCGCAAAAACCCCGGAAGTGCAAGTTCGGGCACCAGCCAATCAGCGAAGAGTCATATATTCAGTGTTGTCAATGTTTCTTGAGATCAAGGATTTAAAGCCGGAACAAAGAGAATATTTGGTGAATTTTATCAAGGGGAAAGACGTTATTGTCCTTCTTCCTACAGGATTTGGGAAATGCTTAATATACCAGTTAGCCCCGTTATATACAACACAACCAAATAACAGCGATTGGTTAAATAATAAAAAGTACCCGCCTACTGTCGAGTGAATGAAATCTAAAGCTGTGAGGTCAGACGGTTTGTACAAAGTGAAACGAAGCAAAACCGGTTGATGAATCAGGTTATTGAAAGTTAGGCAGATATCACAATTTGGTCAAAAAAAAAAAAAAAAGATCTAGGCAATTATGCTATTAGGCCATTTTGGATCATTTCAGCCCTGGGACAGAGAATTTCTACTGAACAAAAGGTTTAAAATGTAGTCATTAACTTAAAAACTACCGCTTCAAATGGTGGAACAAACCATCTTGTGCTTTGAAGATGTAGACAGACTAATAATAAATAATTATCCAAACATGTGTGAATGAAACAAAACACAACTCTGTGAATATTTTTGAGAAGTTAACAACATTTTAACATGGCTTAAAGCTCACAAAAGTCAATTTAGTTTAATATAGAACCTTTAATCCCTATAAAAAATACTATCATTATTATTTATGTGTGTGTTTGTTGTTTGTTTGTTACAGTCACGCCCGCGCAGCTCGCCCAGCTCTGGAGATTTCATTTGCCAGGTGTGCCACAAAGTGTTTCCTCTGCAGCGCATGCTCACGCGCCACCTGAAGTGCCACAGCCTGGTGAAGAGGCACCCGTGTCGCTACTGTGGCAAGGGTTTCAATGACACCTTCGACCTGAAGAGACACATGAGGACTCACACAGGTACTGCACAGGGAGAAAACTGCCACTACTACTGCATTTTACTCAGTGGTGGACAGAGTAAGCTCAGTCTAGTCAGTAAGGCCCGAGACCAGAGGACAGCTGCATCATCTGGGTTTGATTTTGGCTACTTCATTTTGCTCAGAGGAGGACAGAGCAACCAAAACCTATACTCAGTTAACCCAAAATACAAAATTACATAATGTGGGTCTTGCCCTGGGACACAGCAACAGTTTGCACGAGAGCCACAGCTGCCCCACTGTGGCATTTGGTATTTCCAATGCTCTTCCATCCAAGCACTAACCAGGCCTATCCATAGCACTGCCGGTAAAACAAATTATCACAATTTTGGTGCGTTCACAAACTCTTGAGAATCTGACTTGATTGGCTCTAGCTGAAGCGTTTGCAAGTGATAGACAGAAACTGGTATAAACTGACCGACCACAGAGCAGCACTGAGGTTTAGGTAGAAACCAGTGCCGAACAAACCAAAACAAAACATGGCGACGCCAACAGACGTACTCCGACCTATTCTAAAATACATACAGAGAAGCACTTTGGGCACTTGTGGACAGAAGATGTCTGTGGTTTAGTTAAACTGGATTTAACTAAAGTCTGATTCCTTCTCGTGTTTTGCTGTTGTGAAACTTCAACCAATAAATGTGAAGTCTTTTTTGAACGTCCGATCATTGGTTCTGATCAGCTTCAACGAGGGCAGTCCCAGATTGATGTGCAGAGCTTTGTTAAGAGGACTACATTAGGCTATTAGAGCAGGGGTCTCCAACCTGTAGCTCGGGAGGGACCAGTAGCTCTCCACTCCTTTCCAAGTATATTGCCAAGGGATTTTTTAATTTTACATATTGTGCTGAATAACTCAAATTTGACTGATTAAATGCCTATTTCTGTTGTGAATGTATAATTTTGATGCCTAATTTTGTGCACTGATAACTGGATAATGGGTTATGTTTTATAGACCTCTAACTGTACCTCATCCTTGGATTAACATTTGTGGCGACCACTAAAATCAGTAGCTCTCTGGAATTTTCGTTTTGCAAAAAATAGTTCACAGGAGGAAAAAGGTTGGGGACCCCTGCATTAGAGCATGGAAACCCGCCTAAAATCTGTCAGGACAAATGTTTAGAACTTATGTTGGGGCTCGGGTCGGACTTGGACACATCAACGCATCAGCTGTTTCCTGTCTACAGTAAAAGCACTTGCTCTTTGACTTTTAAGTGTTCAAAAGATCAGAGCTCTGCACTTCTAGTTTAGATAGAAGTCAAAACTGTGTGCAAAATTATTATTTGTGAAATGTGGTGCAAAACTTCAGATACATGATTTTAAAGCCTAAAAAATAGTCGATAAAGTCCACAGGAAGTAGAGTCACTATCGCAAATCTGCAGCTTCACCTCGATCTGCGCTCTGTGTGGATGTAAACAGACACACGTGAGGAACTACTCTGGCCTTTTTACTTTGAAATAATGCTTCAAACTGGATTAACAGCGCGGTTTTGTGGACTGGAAAACATTATTTGCGGAGGACATTTCCTATTGATAATGTGGATGAGATGCCGCACTTTAAATTTACCACTTTACGAAAAAGTAATAAAGTCTTCTCATTACTTTTACAGTATCTCGAGTTTGTATTTTGCGTCTCTGTGTCCGTTAGAGAACACACAAACAATTCCTACATGTGGCATTAGTCGGCCTGTGAACATAGTGTGATTTTAATTGTTAGGTTTGGGCCAGATTCAATCACTGCTCTGTTGGGCGAGGGCCAGAAAAATTCAGCCCAATTCACACTCTATTACACCTCAGATGGTCACAACCAATTTAGTTAAAGAAATCCCTCCTTCTTCTTCTTCCTTAGGCATCAGACCGTACAAGTGTGAGCTGTGTGAGAAGGCCTTCACTCAGCGCTGCTCCCTGGAGTCTCACATGAGGAAGATCCACGGCGTGCACCAGCAGTACGCCTACCGCCAACGCCGCTCCAAGATCTTCGTGTGCGAGGACTGCGGCTACACGTCCAGCCGACCCGACGAGTACTTCCTCCACGTCCGGCAGTGCCACCCCGGGAGCCCCGCCCTGAGACGCTACTACCGCCGCCAAGCCCAGGACAACAGCAGCTTCAACCCCGCAGAACGCAAGATCAACCCCTACTTACTCTACTCCAACCCGTACTACATGTAAAACCACCACCAGAAAAGTTACGTAGTGCAACTTTCAGCTTTACTTTGAGTGAGTGCGTAGACGAGAACAACGCGATGAAGGGTGTGAATAATGGACTTGAAGCGAGCTCCACGTGGACAGGCTGAGGAGGCTGGTGGTTCTACTGCTGCGGTGGAGATGGGATTCCAGTGTTGCACAAGATCTGAAGCTGAATGATCGGAGGTGATGTTGAGAAGCAACGACAAAAGGCTGTGATGGACTGTAGCTTTACTCTTCCACCATATAAATGATTCCTTATTTTCTTACCTAAATGCTTGAAAGTGTTTTAAGTCAATGTGTTACATAATTTATTATTAATTTGTTCCAATAAAAACATAAAAAAAAATAACGGTTTGACAAGTTTAATGAAAGAGTGAAATTGTGTTCCATTGTCTTGGTACAGTTTGCTGGACTTGTGCAGATGAGATTCATTAGCCCCCTCTAGTGGCTAAAGTTTGTATGAGTGTTTTTTAATGCTTGTGAACCAATGGAAGCTAGTGCTCTGTTAGCATACTAGTAGTTATTAGCACTACCATGGCGGGCAAAAAACAAGGACGCTAGGAATGCATGAAGAATAACTTTGCAAACAGTTCAAAATGGACTAGTTCTGTTTTTCATGTTTTTAAGACAGTAAAAATCAAGTTAAATTAATTTTGAAAAAAATATTAAAATAAAAGGAGTTGGGTTCCTCAAGTGGAGGAGTTCAAGTATTTCAGGGCCTTGTTCACGAGTGAAGGAAGGATGGAGCGTGGGACTGACGGGTGGATCGGTGCAGCGTCGGCAGTGATTCTGTCGCTGTATTGGACCGTTGTGGTGAAGAGGGAGCTGAGTCGAAAGTCAAAGCTCTCGATTTACCGTCAATCTACGTTCATCCCCTCACCTATGGTCATGAGCTTTGGGTAATGATCGAAAGGACAAGACAGCATGTACAAGCTGTCGAAAAGAGTTTCCACTGCAGGGTGGCTGGGTGCTCCCTTAGAGATAGGGTGAGGAGCTCAGTCACTGGAGGAGCTTGAAGTAGAGGTGGCTCGGGCATCTGTTGCGGTTGTTTCCTGGGCGCTTCCCTCGGAATTGTTCCATGGCATGTCCCAATGGAAGGAGGCCTCAAGGAAAACCCAGGACATGTTGGAGGGACTATGTCTCTCAGCTGGCTTGGGAACACCTCGGGGTGCCCCCGGAGGACCCCCTCGCGACCCAGCCCCGGATAAGCAGAAGAAAATGGATGGATGGATTAAAATAAAAATAAAGTGATCTCTTTTTCTACTGCAGGTTTTATCAGTGAATTTTTATATTTTTTACTGCACAAAATAGATTAAAAAACAACAACACTGTTATAATTAGACTTAAAGGGCCCCTAATTATACTATTTTCTGATCTATATTAGTGTTTCCTCTTTAAAAACATACCTGGACTTGTGTTTTGTTTAAGTCTCATGTTTATGCAGAGAGACTAAGAACAAAGGATTATTCAAACTCGTGTGAATGAAACAAAACATATATGTATCTGGTGAGGAAACAATATTCAAACATGAGTCAATTTTGTGTAAATGATCCGTTTAAATGTCACTCATATTTGTATCACTTCCTTTAAAAGCATGATTCTAAATCAGAGTTGGTGCTGTGACTTTTTGGGTAGTTTCCTTTTCACTAGGAGACCTTTGGTGGTTTCCAACGGTAGATTTGTGTCCTTATTTGCATTTGGGTGCATCTATTCCTGGCCCATTTGTTTAGAATCAGGTGCTGATTTTTCCACTGGCTATTGAGCCGTCAGTGTCAAAGCAAAACTACAGCACTAGAACAATGTTTGTAATATTCTGTATGTCAAAGGTCTTATATTACACAAAATGGATTCTTCTAAGTGTAATGTCATAATGTGATGTTACTTCATCAAAAACAGACCTGGTGTTGTGTTTTGTTTCTTTCACACATGTTTGAGTAACCCTTTATTATTAGTCTGTCTACATCTCCAAAGCTCAAAATGCTCTGTTCCACCTTGTGATGTCATGTAGTGGTAGATTTCAAATTGACAGCTACCCTTTACCTTTTGTTCAGCAGGACTGAATCCAAAATATTCCAGTAAAGGTGTAAGGCAGGGATCTCCAACCTGTAGCTCGGGAGCTACCTGTACATTTCCACCCCCAAGTCACTTACTAAGGGATTTCTGAATTCTGTGTATTGAACTAAATAAGTCAAATTTGATCAATTACTATCGTAAATGCCCCTCTCTGTACTAATAAATAGATAATGATTTATGTTTTATAGAAGTTCAAAAGAATTTCAGTTCCATATTTTTCCCACATTCAAAGTGAATATTGTGAACAGTTTCACATTTCAAAGTACAGAATAAAACCAGGTGTCCATCACAAGAATCACAGAACTATTTTGCACATTATATTTTATTAAAGCTCAGAAAATAACATAAATTAATTTGACACCATATTTCAGATTTTGTTTTACACACTATTAAAATACAGATTAAAGCACACGTTTATTCAAAATCCACACGTCTTATCACATGTACAGCATGGATATCAGGTATGTGCATCAGTAAAACACTCACAGCCTTAAAGTGCCTAGGACAGATTAGACTACTTATGTTTATACTCAGAGTTGTAGTTTATTTTTTTATATATTGTGATGTGTGAGCTACTGTGTCCAAGTAATTTCCCTTGCACTGCAAAACAAAAAACAAAACAAAAAAAATCTAGTCAAGTTAAGATGAATTAAAAAAGTTTTATCATGATTTGAGTACATTTCATTTGACAAGTAAAATTATCTGCCAGTGGAACAAGATGTTTTGTACTTAAAACATGAAAATACATCTTGCTATACTTAAAATAAGAAAAACAACAACTTTTTACACTTAAAATAAGAAACAAAATCAAATGTTACTTGAATTAAGGAAAACAAACTTATTCCATTAGTAGATAGTTTTACTTGTCAAGTTGAATTTATTCAAATAAAGTAAAATATTCTTAATTTAAGTAATTTTAATTTAGCTAGATATTGTTTTTTTCTCTCCAGTGTGTGGATCAATAAATAAAAAATAAATACAATTTTACTCTCTGGCTTTTAACACCATGTGAGTTGTGTGGTCCTCTGCGCCTTTTATTTAATTTTATTTATTTACTTATTTGATTCATTTTTGTATCATTTTTAGCTTGATGCATTTGAACACTTTTTATTTATTGTTTTTATTTATGATTTACTGTCTTTTCTTTTCTTTTTAATTTGTCTGTGCAGCACTTTGGAAACTGTCATGTCTATAAAATGTGCTACAAAAATAAAGTGGATTGGATAAAGTCTCTATTTAAGATTCTCCACAAATTATTATTATTATTATTATTATTATTTTTATTATTATTTTTTTTTTTTTTTTTTTTAATTATTATTTTTTTTTCCAGTTTGACCAATTCTTTTATTGTTTAGGTTTATAATTTTTATTCCTGCTTGGAAATCACAACATCATCCTTGGGAATTTCATAACTGTTACCTAGCAACTATCCAAAATCCCCTTTATTAATTCTACATGAATGTCTGTGACGGAATGTTCAGCAGTTACCATGGTGACAGAATGCACACATTAGTAAACACAGACAATAAGAAGTTTTAGGTCTGAAAACTCAAATCAAAGATACAAAATGGAAATTCTAGGAGCCCTACTTATTATACTCTTGTCTGGACAAAGAAACTTTGAAGTCATTTTTCTCAGTTTCACACTCACACTTTTGGGCAGAATTATCCCACTAAAATAAATTAAAATTAAAGATTCGTCCAAACCTGCGATAGGCACTTTAAGGTTCAGTACGTCTCATACCAGACTCAGAGTGCAAAGGTCAATATGACGTGAGCTACGTATAAACATATAACAGCATATCGTTTATACATTCATCAAAGTGCAACATGTTTCACAAAAGTGCCTCATTGTTTCATTAAAGGTGCACTGCGGAACTTTTCTAGAGGACGGTCCACCACGTGAAAAAGTTTAGTCTAGATTTTACAACGTCTACAGCGTCACAAAGCTCAGGAAAGATCAGCCTTATGATTAAAAAGTGTGATGTTCACTCGACGGTAGGCACTTTTTTTTTTTTTTTTTTTAATCAATCGCTGCTAATGGGGATAACTGGTATATTAAGCTTTCCCAAATCCCATAGGAAGAAGGACAATAACGTCTTTCCTCTTGATAAAATTCACCAAACATTCTCTTTGTGACGACTTTAAATCCTCGATCTCGGGAAACATTGCCAACACAGAATGTATGACTCTATGAAGTAAGAAAGCTTTCAGAAATATTCATGTGCATAGTATAGAAATCCATGCATGTTTGTCTGTAGTTGAGCATAAAATAAGTATTTGTAAAATCTCAAATGAGTCCAGTCGTACATAAAATGTGTTGTGTGTTTTTTATCCATCAGAATACAAATTGAAAAGTTACGACGTCAAGAATTACAATCACAAAATGAAAATGTACAATTATGCTTTCTTCAGTACGAATATGAATTCACCAGCGAGACTCAACTGTCAAAAATACGTCTGAACCAGGACTAAATCAGGACTGAACCAGATCTAAACCAGGACTAAACTAGGACTACACCAGCACTAAACCAGGTCTAAAACAGGTCTAAACCAGGACTAGACCAGGACTACACCAGGACAACACCAGAACTAAACCAGGTCTAAATCAGGTCTAAACAAGGACTAAACCAGGACGACACCAGGACTAAAGCAGGTCTAAAGCAGGTCTAAAGCAGGTCTAAAACAGGTCTAAACCAGGAATAAACCAGGACTATACTAGGACTATACTAGGACTAAACCAGATCTAAACCAGGACTAAACCAGGACTAAACCAGGACGACACCAGGTCTAAAGCAGGTCTAAAGCAGATCTAAACCAGGACTACACTGAGACAAGCCATGTGTAAACCAGGTCTAAACCAGGTCTAAACCAGGACTTCACCAGGACTAAATCAGGTCTAAATCAGGTTTAATCCTGTTCATCCTGAAGAAAGCATAATCGTACATTTTCATTTCGTGACTGTAATTCTTGATGTCGTAACTTTTCAATTTATATTCTGATTGATAAAAGACACACTACACATTTTATATATGACTGGACTCATTCGAGAGTTTACAAATATTTATCTTATGCTCAACTACAGCCAAATATGCAACAATTTCCCAAATACACACCGATTTCTATACTATGCACATGAATATGTCTGAAAACTTTCTTGCTTCATACTTAGGGCCTCGGACTTGCACTTCTGGGATTTTTGCAAACCGTCCAGTGTGTACCAATTCCTGACCTAGTCGCTGGAGAGAAATGAAATTAAGCGGAGACACTAGGTGGTGCTAGGTGACGGACCCCCCCAAACAGAAAAGCAGCATAGTGCACCTTTAAATCCTGACACGTTCCCCCAGTAGTGTCATTTACAACAAATATTAAAGATCCAATATTATGCATTATGTAGGCTATTTCTGTGATTTTTTTGCAGACAGCTTTAGTGTTTTTATATTGTGTTTGAGTACTTTAAATAATGTATAATATGGTTATAAAATCAGAAAAATCCAGCAATGCAATAAAAGGGGAGGTAGAGAGGATTAAAGTTGCTTGTCATGATTTGCTGTACAGGCCTGGAGAAGGAAACGTCTGCAGAATAAGAAAAAAACTAAACAAAAACATAATCCACATATGTTTTAATATGCGTAAAACAATCTAATTTGCATAATATGGGATCTTTAAACCACATGCATTTTTATAAGTGCCTTCATTTGAACTACAATAACATCACTTTTACACAGTGCAAGCCAGTCTAAGGTGCAGATTCTGCCATAACACCCAACTCCATGCACTGTAGTTCTAACGACTTGAGCTGAAAATATTCATTTGAGTAAAATATATATGTATGCATAAGTAAATTTGGAGAAAATAAAAGAAGAAATGTGTCACTTCATATTTTCTTTTCTTCATAAGATCTTACAACAGCTTATTTGTTCACTAATTCGGCTCTATTCACGCTTACGTCACAAACAAGGAAGACGTTTGGAAACATGCAATTACGACTTCCCAGGCCCAGTTTTCTTCTTCATCTAAATGTCATTGTTGCGTTCTGTTATGTTCGGATAATCAACAATTACAACCGTACTTCAGTTTTTATCATTTCACCACTGATACATAAATCCGAGAGCACTGGGTACATGCGATTAGAAGAGACGAGAGTGACAAGTTCAAGATGATTCTGAACAGCTCATACGTCTGAAGTCTTCATTTTACCGCTGATCACATTTACTTCAGTGGGTTTGATCCATAGACTGTATATATGAGTGGACAAATCCTGTAGCCGCCATGTGCCAAATAGAAAGTTTGCCAGGAGGCTCTTCCGGCTCCTTCTGACTCTGGCTCCAATAGACGCATCAAGAATTACAGACTTCCGGTCATTGCGCAATGCATACTGGGAAGGATTTTCCGAAAAAGTGAGCATCAAACCATCATGTTTGTTTTCCCAGTGGGTGTGTCTATTGACAAAGCCGATCTTTTCTAGTCTTTTGAACCATATCGCTATTGTTTCTGATTCTGATATTGTCATATTTTAGTTTTGGGATTTGAACATCATTAATTGTGTGGTTGTTGGATCCTCACTGCGGAAAACGGCTCGAGAAATTTGTTTGCAAACTCCATAATTGCAAAAGGGAATCAGATCTGTGTGACTGCAAACCTCCGTTCAAACTGTTTCCCTTCCCAGCAGAATTGAAAAATAGTGAAAGGCGAAGGTGATGGGCAGGATTGATCCACAGGAAGGACAAAAAAGGAAACCTTTGACTGCCTAAATCATCCTGAGTTTGCAGTGAACATTTTGTATGTGGAGTGCCAGCAAAGCAAAATCCCGATCCCTTGCTCAACCTTGGTTACAAATTTAAAAAGTCAACGCCAAAGTGAAAGGCACAACTGTTCGCCAAGAAACACCTTCCACTGCAAAACGACCAAGACTTAATGTTGCTGTAAAACCACAAGAACAAGAAAGTGCGAGCTCAGCCTGTTTGTCTTCTGTACGTCTTCACTTAACAAATGGGATCCCGCTTTAATGGCGCTCCACATACAAAATGTTTGCTGACAGTTTGATGCTCACTTTGTCGGAAAATCCTTCCCAGTATGCATTGCGCAATGACCGGAAGTCCGAGATCCTTGACATGATCCTAAATTGTTTTTTCGCTATTTTGTCCGTCAAAAAAAATCCAATTCCTAACACAGAGCCTGGCCCCAGATTCGCTCCTGTAACCGTGAACATTGCGAGCCTCATTTGAGCGGCGCTGAAAGCTATGGGTGACATCACACTCGCTTAGCCCACTTCTTTTTTACAGTCTATGGTTTGATCACAGTGGGTTTTAATAGATCCATGTTAGGCGAGCTCAGTGTCGGGAACTACACCAGAAGTTGTTGTCGCATGTTCCCAAACGTCTTCTTGGTTTGTGACGTAAGCGTGAATAGAGCCTGTACTAACTTCATGTTGGCGCAATAATATCTCCATTTTCAAGCCTTAACTTTCAGGTCAAAATTACAAAACACTTTTTGTAGAACCCGAGTTGACTCATATTTTACAGCATATGTTGCAGAAACAGTGTGATACTGCTCCTACAGGCCTGACTCTCTCACACTGCATGTCTGAAAGTGTGGGAGCGTTCTCTGCTCAGTGTAAATTTATAAATCTGATGACTGTGTTTGTATTTTAACCAAAAAGTGTTTTACGTTTGGTTCACAAAGTTGACTTTTTCCAACATTCTGATTTGTGTGAATAGTTTTCCAAAGTGTGCAAAAGGTTTAGATCTAGATTTATGAAAAGTTTCAGAAAATGTGCCAAAGTGAGAAAAAAACAAAACAAAAAAACATTAGAGAGTAGTCTGGGTAACACTATATTTTATATTTTACACTACCTTTAATTCAATGTACCTACTTCACAGTCAGAAATATGTTTAAACAAGTAAATAATTTGGCTTACAAGCTAAATAAATCCAAACTAAACTACTTAAATCAAGTCAAATATTTTCATTTCAAGTCACATGGTCACATTTTTGCAGTGTATACAGTATATACGTGTATATACGGTACGTGTTTATACAGTATATACGTGTATACAGTTGACATAAGGCAGTTCAGAGCTCGTCTCTTCATGTCCTCCTTATGAGTTAGAGTTTTCTTTGGATGTGAGTTTGTCCACACACACTTTAACGTGTCGTCTGCAGGTCTCACAGTCTTTGCCTGTCGTTCATGTTACACGCTGCAGAGGAGCTCAGTGTCACAGCGCCCTCTTTTGGTCAGCACCTGCCCTCTGCAACACACCAGAAGGTAGCCCTCACTCCTCACCTGTGGCCGGCGTACCTAAGTATTTAGAAAATAATTCAAAATTTAACACATTTAAATTATGGGTTAGTAGTCGAAACGCGTTGGTGTGAAAACTAATAAATACACTGCAAATAAGAGTTCCTCTACCATCCTTTTTTCTACTCATACCTAGAGTTGTGTTTTCTTTTATTTACACATGTTTAACACACAAACTCTGCATATTTAGGCAGAGAAAATACCCTGTTCCATGTTGTGTTTCAGACTTTGCATGTTTTGCATGAGTGTATAATGACTATTTATTGCCTTTATTGTCTGTCCATCTATCTGATATCATGTGGTAATACAGAACAAGCTCCACTCCACACACTTTGACTAGAATTATTTGGATGATTTTAGACCTGGAATTTCCAATCTCTACTGAACTAAAGGTGAAAGGAGCTGTTAACTTAAAAACTACTATGACATCACAAGGTGGAAAAGGGCATTTTAAATAAGAAAGAGTTACTTAAACTTGTGTGAACGAAACAAAACACAACCACATTCTAACCTGACCTTAATCTCACAATGATCAATTTTCTGTAAGGTGTGTCTAGAACCTTTAATCATGTCACATTTCAACGTCCGTACATCTAAAATATTTATCCAAAAAAGATGCAATTCCTGGTGACGTACCCTGTGAAACAGAACCATGTGCCTGTGGAGAGGGATCACCAGCGGGTAGTGGCAGACAGGGGGCGCTCTCTCCCTCTGAAACACACAACAGATCAGGAACCAGAACGCAGCCAACCCCTCCACTTAAATATATTTAAGTAATAATAATGATAATAATAGTAGAGAAAAGTAGAAGATTGAAAAGTGTAAACATAAGCTTACATCTGTACATCTGTCCATACATTGTGCAGGCAGCTCTGTGATTGGATGAGAGAGAGCATCGTCAGTCGCCATAGTGATGAAGCATTTGTTTGGGGTGTAGCATCGTGACAACATGCATAATATTAAAGAGAATTAAAGAGACAAACTTTGGTAAAGAAATGTACATGCTTTTGCAGTTAAAAATACAACTTTGTAGCTTTGTACAAACTCGAGCAATGGTCTGAGAGATGGAAGGAGCAGCCAGACATTGTACTGAAAAAAGATTTATCACGTGAGTCCAAAACAATGTTACTCAAAAAGAAGCAGAGGTGGGTAGAGCAGCGAAAAATTTTACTTAAGTAAGAGTAGCATGAGTACAACATCTACATAAAAGTACAACGAAATGGTCTAAGACAGGGGTGTCAAACTGAGAGCCAAAATTAAAATCTGGGACCAAAGTTGTGGACCAAACTAAATATTTATTGAAAAATTTCAACAGCATTTGCATGTTTTTTCTTCTTTCGAGAGATGTAATGTTAAACCTTTTCTTATTAAGTAAATGTTTAATAATAGTTTTGCTTAAACATTGAATCCAGAACAAGCAAAATATTAAATAATAACACAGTTTTAAGTAAATAATAGTCTATCTAGTTTTTGAACTCCTTTTAAATGTTTTTTTTATTATTTTTTTTACAAGTCAAAAATAACAATTTGCTTCAATGAAAATCCAATCTTTCAACACGAACAGTCAAAAATCATAAAGAAAACATTCATCCAAGCTCAGTTTACTAGACTGTGATTTACTCTGATGCACATGGATCCAAAGCAGATACTTGGCATTTCTTCTTAGATACAAGTTCATCAAAGTATTACTAGTAGTAGTATTAGTAGTAGTATTAGCGATGCATGTGTCATACTGGCACAGCAGCCGACAGGCCAGCTTTAATACATATTTGATATGAGCTCACGGGCCAAATATAATTATATCACAGGCCTAATTTGACCTCCGGGCCTGAGTTTGACATGTCTGGTCTAAGAAATTAACTAACTAAGAATGTAAGTATTTTGAAATGAATGTAATTGCAAGGACAAAACATTAAATAACACCCAAAAGAAAAAGAAAAATCATGTCTGAAGGAGTGGTGCAAGAAACTAGGGATGTCTCGATCCCATTTTTGAGTCTGAGTGCTTGTCATTTGATTTTGACCAGAATCAGATCAGACCCTGAGACTAGACTCTGCACAATCTAAAGTTTGTATATTTGATATTATATGGAAGCCTGTGCATTACATTTGAAACATTTAGGCCCGTCTATGATCTCCAAACAATACAAGATCTTACTAAACAAAAACAAGATGACATTTATTTTTCATAACTTTCTTTGTGCACCCCCATAGGTCATTCTGTACAACTCTGGGGGCACATGTTAATAACTGTGATATTTATAATGTCATTCTTACAGTATAATGTAGTTTATTACTATATTCACCTGTAGTAAGACTATAGTTTAAGACATCCGTGCCTCAGATTTGCTCAGGGAATGTTGTGTGCTGTGTGTCCTGTGTGCACTGTGTGTTATATACATATATTATTTATCCCATACCTGATTGGAACATAACGTCCGAGTCCAAATCGAGTCCACAGTCACATGATTGGTCCTGATTTCCGATCACGTGATCAGATTGGGACAACCCTACAAGAAACACAAATATACAAATCATTTCTTATTGACAACATGAAGCTTTACAGACTTGCCAAAGCCTGATCCCGTCAGATCTCAGAAGTTAAGCAGGGCTGGGTCTGGTTAGTACTTGGATGGGAGACCACTGGGAAAATCAAGTGCCACGGGGGGTGCCAGTCACAAAAACTCTCGTTGTGTCCTTAGGCAAGACACTTCACCCTCATTGCCTTGTATGAAAGTGATGTGTGTGTGTGTGTGTGTGATGGTGGTGGTTGGAGGGGCCAATGGCGCAGATTGGCAGCCTGGCTTCTGTCAGTCTGCCCCAGGGCAGCTGTGGCTATAGTAGTAGCTTATCACCACTCGGTATGGAGTGAAGGAATAATGCTCTGTGAAGTGTCTTTGAGTGTCCAAAAAAGCGTTATATAAAACTGATGCATTATTATTATGATTTAAGACTTTTTTGTCCTATTTTCTGCCGTGTTGATGTGACTTTTCTAGTAACAATACTTGTTCAAAAGAGTATCTAGTTTCAGTACGAGTTTTAATATTGAGTCATATCTGATATTTTTGTTACTTTTGACAACTCAAAACCCAATCACAATCATGTATAATAGTAACAGCTCGTCGCAGATATACGGCCCACGTCCCTCCACGCTCCATCACACCGGGGCTATTCTGGGACTATTTACTCTGACTCAGGCTCAGTGTAAGCACACGCTGTGAGCCGGAGCACTCTGTTTACTCAGAGCGTCTCATATTGTCTGGAACCCATTCCAAACTGCTGAAGAAGGGCTGACCGTAAAGTGCAGGCTGTGCGGTGGTCTACTTCAGAAATCTGCTCAGCTCAAAGCAGGGCCAGGTCAAAGGGAGAGAGACCAAATTTATTCATCCCGAGAAAATTCAAGTTTAGCTGCAGCAGAAATATTCCCTCAGTCGCCTTGGTGCCTCAGTCATAGGTCTCAGTGCAGTTGAACAGGAAGACTGGTCTGGTAGGGTCAGCAGATCTTATGTGACAGTTTGAGGGGAAGAAGAGACAAGTGTCCTTCCTCTGTGTCCTGCAGCATCACAGCAGCCTCCAGGGGGCGCCAGGTGAACACATCAGAAAAACCCTCACTCTTACTTAACTCTGGTGTTTTGGTTAGTTATGAAATGGTTCATTCCCCAAACTGTTTCCACTGTAAAGTCTCGGAGTATTTCCTCTAGAAGGTCTTCTGTCACTCTTGCTACCACATATGGTGTAAAAATCCGGTAGCATCTAAAATATCCATAGCTAGCTCCAGCCTCTTGCACAGTCTCCATGGATCCAGGGGAAAAACAAACAGCACATTTCACACAATCCAACAGGGGATGTAGGGGGAGACCAGGGTTATTTTTAATCCATGTCATAAAAACATCCCAAAAGTCATTCATACGATCAAAGATTAAAGTCTTAAAATACACCGCCTTTTCATTTCTTACAGTAAATGTGTAAGAAATCCATAGTGAAAGTTTATTTACTCCATAAGTTTATATTACAAAAGTTTGAATGAAAAAAAATCTGTAGGCACATTAGTCTCACAAGTTGCACAGAGAAGCTGAATCCGTGTATCATTCGTTTTTCAAAATAAAACCAAAAATAAGAAAAAATTATTAAAAAACTGTTTTCTTCATAAGTTTTCTCTAAAATCAAAATGAAAAAACAGATAACAATTCATTTTTTCAGTTTTTGGTTTTGTGTTTAAATGAATAATGGAAAAAACAAACAAACAGATAATGGCCGTTTCCCATTTTCGTGATTTAAACTGCGATGCCGGATTTTTGCACCGCATACGGACTGAACCAGGTCTAAACCAGGTCCGGGACCAGACCGGAACGAGACCGGGACCAGACTGGGACCAGACTGGGACCAGACCGGTACCAGACCGGGACCAGACCGGGACCAGACCGGGATCAGACCAGGACCAGACTAGCACTGAGATTGGAACCAGACCAGGACCAGACCAGGGCCAGACCAGGACTAGACCAGGACCAGGACCAGACTAGCACTGAGACTGGAACCAGACCGGGACCAGACTAGCACTGAGAATGGAACCAGACCAGGACCAGACCAGGACCAGACCAGGACCAGGACCAGACTAGCACTGAGAATGGAACCAGACCGGAACCAGACCAGCACTGAGAATGGGACCAGACCAGGACCAGACCAGGACCAGGACCAGACTAGCACTGATAATGGAACCAGACCGGGACCAGACTGGGACCAAACCAGTACCAGACCGGGACCAGACCGGGACCAAACCAGGACCAGACCGGGACCAGACCGGGACCAGACTGGGACCAGACCGGGACCAGAACAGGACCAGACTAGCACTGAGACTGGGACCAGACCAGGACCAGACCAGGCACCAGACCAGCACTGAGAATGGAACCAGACCGGGACCAGACCGGACCAGACCGGGACCAGACCGGGACCAGACCGGGACCAGACCAGGACCAGACTAGCACTGAGACTGGGACCAGACCAGGACCAGACAGAATAGTTTAGTCCTGGTTCAGTCCGTATGTGGTGCAAAAGTCCGGCATTGCAGTTTAAGTCACAGAAACAGGAAAAGGCCGTTATCCTTTTTTTTCCCCATTATTAATTTAAACACAAAACTGAAAACTGAAAAAACGTCTTGAACAATCGTGCAAAATATAACATCGGGACAGTTCACACCTGTGGTAGCTCAATGCACAAATAACAAATGCTCCTTACTGTAAACAACTAGGGTGTGTAAGATTCAGTGTAGTTAACTCCTCTGTCCCCTCTTTTGTGAATTTGTTTTTGCACGATATCAGATTTTACAATGCCATGGTGCAAATTTACCCAAGTGTTGTTTAATGGCGTAAATGAATAATTGAATCAAAATCAGCCAAGAATCGAAAGCACAAGTTCAGCTGTGGAGAAAGAAATGGCCGTAGCGTGCACGTAAGGATTTCTCAAATGTGCAGGAACGAATGAAGACAAACAAAAAATCCTGGTATGTTTTTAACGAGGGAAAGCTAAAACGGACTACTCCTTCATGCGTAAATAAAACAAAAGTACAGCTGGTGGTACCTTCTTGTAGGTGAATTTGACTCTCGTCTGCGGCCTTGGCGGCTCTACAGTCCTTCAGTTCTCCTCTGAGCTTCTCCATCTCCTGCTCCAGCTCTCCACACCTCCTCTCCGCTTCCTGCAGACGCCTGGAGAGAAAATAAAACACATTTATATGGGCAGAGCGCTCGCAATTTTGTACCATGACTTCAGAACTAACTTTGGGCAGTCACGATGATGTAGTTTGTCAGCAATGGGTGCTGAAAAAGAAGCCAGTTTGTGCCACAACTTTACTCAGTTTACTTACCTACTGAGCTTTAAAAATGTGAAAAACAAACAGAGCTGATTCTTTTTAAATTGTTTGCTGTGGTAAATCCTCTTTCCCAATGCATTCCTAGAATCCTAAATGACTCTCTGCACAACTGCACTAGGCTTGTTCCAGTCACTAGAACAGTAATCGTGGTATTTTCCACCCGAATTTTACATCAGCAGGTGCAAGACAAAAACCCACAGCATCATAAAGGACTTCACCCATCCAGCACATGGACTTTTTACAGCTTTCCCATCAGGTAGAAGACTGCACCACCTACGGGCCAGGATCACCAGAAATCAGAACAACTTTTACACTGATGGCGTTAGGCAGATTAGTTCTGTCAGAAAGCCCGGACACTACTGCACCTTACGAGATAGAACTGACTCAGAACGCACTTTAGAAAATGGGGGTGGGCAAGGACTGTTTTTAAAGACTGTGTTTGACATACAATATTTTAAAGAGACAATTCAGAATTTTGGACATAGGACCTAGTGAGTACTGTAGATATGTGAAGACACTTTTTGATATATTCCATCCAGTCCTTGTATTTGCAGAGGTCGCTGGTGCTAGGCTAGTGCATGTCAATGGCCATAGTTATCCTGCCACTAAAAACGGTCTTACCCACTCCACAAAACACCCGACTCTGTAATAGTTTGTTTACCTGCAGCTGCCACTTCGACACATAGAGGAAATAAAAAAGTCTGTTCGAGTTATGGTCACGTTCATATCATCACAACAAACTAGAGCAGAGTAAAATTCCGCCACTGCTGAGAAAATAGTCCCTTAAAGTGCAACGATTCATGCGATACAAGGGTAGTTGTACTTCTAAAATTATTCTATCGAATCAGACATTTACATGGACAGTCTGGTGTAATAATAGTTTTGCTTCGGGTGTTTTGTGGAGTGGTTAAGACTGTTTTTAGTGGCAGGATAACTATGGCCATTGACATGCACTAGCCTAGCACCAGTGACCTCTGCAAATACAAGGACTGGATGAAATATTTTTAAAAGTGTCTCCATATGTCTCCAACACTCTGGCTCACTAGGAAATGAGGTCCTGTGTCCAAAATTCCGAACTGTCCCTTTAAAGATGCAGGAATCATGTGCATTGTTTCAGATACCTGTGCAGGTCTTCTTGAACAGCAGATATGTGGGTTTCGTCCTCGTCCTCTGTGGTTTGAGTGGACTCGTTGGACACAGTGGGGGCAGAGGCCACCGTTGTGCACACGGTGGTGGAGATGGTGGACACAGTGGTGGACATAGAGGAGACAGTCGGTCCATGTCCCAGAGACACGGGCAGCTGCAGCAGGACGTTCAGGTTGTCTGGCAGAGAACCCCGGAGCTGCCAAAGCTGCCTCTGAGCACAACACAGCCTCAGTAAGTCTTTTTCTCAACTCAGACTTCAGTTGGTTCATTTGGTCTTAAAAAACTGTTACTTTTCAATAAGGACTTCTTTCAGACAGACTGTTTTCTCACACTCAGACATGTTGCAGATGAATGTTCTGTATATTTTGTATCAACAGCCATTATGTACATCTTTTATACTATAGACTTGATTTTTATGCTAAGAAATAAGATTTTTATATCAACATGTTTCGCCATATTAAATACGTGGAGCAACTGTAGTGCGCCCTCAGGTGGCCGCTAACATACACTACCGGTCAAAAGTTTTAGAACACCCTAATTTTTCCAGTTATTTATTGTAAGTCAAGGTAACAAAACACAAGTCTAAGCTCTGCCAGAGTGTCCAGCACAGTGTCCAGGCTTAAACCCCATCGAGCTGGTTTGGGATGAACTGGACAGAAGAATAAAAGCAAAGAAACCTACAAGTGCCACACATTTAACTTCTGCAACAGACTTGGGAAGAACTTTCTGAAGAATATTTGATTTCTATTGTAAAAAGAACAAGCCACGGTGAGTTCAGCTGTTACATCTGCCAAAGGTGGACATGTTCATGAATCAAAAGTTTAGATTACATTTTGGCCAACAGTAAACAGTAAAAAACTGGAAAAAGAGTGGTGCTCTAAAACTTTGAAAAAGTGTAGATTACACTTAACCTAATATGCACTTAAAATCATTTTGAGTGATGACAGAAAACAACAGCAACAATAGTTTACTGCTACTTAAGTTTTGTTTTCTCAGTTTGAATTTAACTTTTTTACCAATATAAACATTTTACTGGATTTTAACTTTCACATTTACATTTACTAGCTGGTAGTATAGCTAAATGAATAATTCTAACTGGATCTGACGCTGAGTCTGACAACAGCTACACAGAAGAGGAAGCAGCGATCCGTTTACCTCCAGAGGTGGCGGAGTTGCTCAGAAGTGACACCGAGGATGAAGAATTCAGTGGATTTAGTGATTTGGAGTGAGATGGAGAGTTTGGTAAACTTGTTCTGTTCTCTTGTTTATGCTATAATTATCTAAAGAACTGTTCATATGTGATGCTAACAGTCTGTTGTTCTCTGTTCTATTGTTATTACTAGAACTTGACTTTCAAGGTGAAATGTTGGTTCCTGGTCTCTGATTTTATAAAATAAATTTCCCCCATAAAGACGTATAGTCCGGTGCGAATTATATATATTTTTCTTCTTAATTACGCATTTTTTGGCCAAAAAATAGCCCAAAAAATATGGTAATGCCTGTGTCTCTTTACAAAGGCAGTTATGATGAGGTGAAATAAAGTAGGGCACTTCTGCTCAGTGTCTGGATCAACCGTAAAAAGAAGCTCTGTTCTGTGCAGCTAAACAGAGCTCATGAAACAGTGAGAAGAACAAAGAGACACAGGGTTTTATTAAACAAAAGTTGACTCCCTCTGTTATTGTCTATCAAACCTGTCAGAGCCCTCTCTCCTCACCAGTTTGTCGGGGGTGTACAGCCTCTCACACTCTCTGAGCCGTGTGTGGTCGATTTGCAGCATGATGTCCTCGCTGCGGTCCATGGCCCCCGTCTGGCTGTAAAACCGTCTCCGTTAAACACATATAAACACAAATGAAGCAGAGCAGAGGGGCTGTGGTGGGGCTGTAGTGTGGAGGTGAGGAGGGGGTCAGTGAAATCACCTGGTGGCCGTGTAGGAGTATCCAACGAAAGCCAGGTGCACCCCCATGGGAGCTGGGTCCATCAGGTCTGAAAGGGTCTCCTGAAACAAAAGAATGGGACATGATCTCTTAGCGTAGCTCTTGGGTAATAAAATGCTTTCTATTTAGACACAGAATGTACGCAGTGGACTTATTTTGACCTCAAGAGCTGCTTAGACAATATTTCTGTACTGGGGCAAGACACATTTTGCTCACACACATGGAAAAATTTTATTGGATTTCCTCCATCCAATTTTTTTTTCTCCATGGACATGTTCTTGCTTGATCTGGAATGTTTCACAATATGGTAGTAAAATTTTTTATCTTCATGGAGACCAGACCAAGTTACAGGTTAGATCACTGGAGGTGACTTCCCTCACAGTTAGAATACCTATCTAGGTATTTTTGAGCTATAAAACCACAGTGTCTCGAGCCAGAACCAAATGTGATCGTCCAATCAGATTTGTTTATTTCAATGACAAGTGTTGGGAATTATGATGATTAAGTATAATGGTGCTATTACCGGTGCCACATGTTCGGTAATGAAGTAATCTAATTAATTACACTCTCCATCGTTACAATGCCGTTATTGTTCCCAGGTTGGGTTGAATGAGGCGCAGCGGTGTCAGGCTTCATGCAGCGGACAGACACACATCAGGAGTGAGTAAAACGCCCAACACTGTCAGTGACCAGAGGTGGGGACTTGCAAGTCGTCACTTGAACTTGAGTCAGACTTGAGTCGCTATTTTTTGGACCTGAGACTTGACTTGATAAAATGGAGTAAGACTTGGGACTTGACTTGGACTTGAGGCCTGTGACTTGAGAAGACCTGAGAAGCACTTTTAAATCTTAATTCTTTCTATTCTGACCATAATGACTCGCACTAAGATCTTTAAGACATTTAAAAAAAGAAAAAAAAAAACATCTCTACACCTCTTATACACTCTATAAATACTCATATATAAATATACTGTGATTTTTTTAAAGTAATATTTAGTTTAAAATTCATATAAATTGCAAAAATCTTAGCTATATTTGGTACTTTGGTTTAAAGACTTGAAAAGATTTGAAGCTCAAAGCAGGCGACTTGGACTTGACTTGGACTTATGGGCCAGTGACTCGAGACTCGACTTAGACTTGCCTGTATTTGACTTGGGACTTGACTCGGACTTGAGGTCAAAGACTTGTGACTTACTTGAGACTTGCAAAACAATGACTTGGTCCCACCTCTGTCGGTGATGTGAAATGAAGGAGCTCATTAGTCACCATCATTTACAAACAAAATCACATTTTTCATTGGTTCTGCAGAAATCCATATGTTTTTCAGGCCCCTGTGATATTTGATTCTTCCCTTTTTCCTCATAAGCTGTGTTTGTTTTGATACAGATGGACCATGTTTGCCCTTGACTGAGTAAAACCACCTGTCAATCATGCCCAACTGAACTCGGGGAGAACTGTGTGTGTACTGGAACTCAGGCAAATGTAAAGTGTCTTTGAATGTTTTAGAGAATGTCATATAAATCAAATGTTTTATTAATCTCAAAGAGACACAAAGTAGAGTAGAGCCACTTCTCTCAGTTTGTCTCACTTGGAGGGTTTGGAGAAATAAGACACTTGAACAAATGTTTAAAGGGCTTATATTGCACAAAATTGACTTGTAAGTGACAGACTCTCCACCAGAAAAGTTACACAGTGCACCTTTAAAAGAAAGCTTGAGCAAATTACCATTTCACTGAGGCAGTCGTCCACTACATCAAAGTTGGACGTGTCAGTCGGGTTGGTCACCTCTGGCTCGTACGGCGCCGAGGCTTTGTGCAGGGAGCTCCAGTCCACACCGCTGAAAAAGGGGTGTGTCCTAAAGTCGCTCAGGCCCCTCCCCCCCAGCCGAACGTCCCTCTCGCAGATCAGGCCTGTGATGAACAAGTGAGCCCTGTCCGAAAGCTCAGGGCCAGATGGGGGGAACTCAAAGTACTCCTGTGGATTAAAACAAGCACAGCACTTGTAATCTCCTCTTTTAACGTGTTTAGTGATTCTGACTTCAAGCACGTGCCACCCACTGTTTGTTTTAGAACTGAAATGCCACAAGATAAACTGTTGGTGGTGTTTGGTTACCACGGACGACAAGCAATATTTTGTGGCTTTTGTAATGCAGTGGTGTACGTGTGGTTTAGGATGGAAATGATAATGATTTGAGGTCATTTTCTGAAGATTTTAGGTGCTTATGTTACATTTTCTTTAGTAAATTTTAAAAAACATGGTACTTTTCTAGCAGTATATTTTTACTCCTTTTGGGGTAATATTTTCTTTGAAGTAAGAGTACTATAGTAAAAGTAAATGTTTTGGTTCCTATTACCACTGTGAGTAAGTCTACAAGTGACAAACACTTTATGTTGACAATATTACATAATTTGAACATTTGTGTTTCTTGCGTTTTTTAAATTTTTATTTCTTATTCTAATTTTCCTTTTTTTTTTTGTGCCTTACTTAATGTTTTAGGTCTTCAAGTTACATTAACTTCAAATTATAAATCAAATGTTATGTCCCGACAATTACTAGTCACAGAATTTTTGATTGAGCAGTGACAATGTCCAGGGTTCCCATGGTTATGGAAGTCCTGGGAAAGTCATGAAAATTAAAAATGTAATTTCTCAGGCCTGAAAAAGTCATGGAGTTTTGTAAATTCAATTATAGTTTTGGAGAAGTCATGGAATTTTTGTATCGCTTTCACGCAACTACATCGTTCTGTCATGTTCTCATTAGGCTGTTATGATTATTTCCGAATGCTTTTTGTTTAAAAAAGTCAACAATAAATGCACTGACAGTATTTTGAATGTTAAAAAACTATAATACCAAACCATAAGGTGAGTGGAAAGAGTTAACATTTCATATTTAGCCCTAAAAGTCTGATCAGTTCTACATGTGTAGGTGCTGTAAAGTCATGGAAAATTCAATTTAGGTCATGAAAAAGTCATGGAAAAATTTTGAAATTTTGTCAGTGGAAAAGAGTGGGAACCCTGAATGCCAAAGTAGAGTTGTGAAGTCAGGCTAAAGCAAACAACAACTGGCATGCTAACTGCTCACTTCCTGATTAATAGCCAATAAAACAGTTCGTAAAAAAAGACACAGCAAACTTATGTTGACCCCAACAGCTGCTTATACAATATATTTACCTTTTTTATGACCCAAAGTGCAACATATTTAAAATTACACAGTAGTCGAGAGTTAGCTTTTGATTTCTTTTATTTTTGATCTTCTCATGTTTGTTCTTCCCTTTTAACGGTTTTAAAGGAATTTAAAAACTCCTGTGTCCAAAAAAAAAATGAAAAAAATGTGGAAATGTGGACCTGATGAGCCAAACAACAAAAAGGTGCAGCACCGGGCCAATCCCGTACAGGGCCGTAGAAGCCGATGCCTGCACCAATAACTTAAGACCAAAAACCCAACAAACCTGAACCCAAAGGAAAAGCGAAAACAGGACAGCCGGTCCCACCAGGTCAAAACAAAAGGATAACAGCTAATAAAAGCTACATAGCAGCAGAGAGCCCTGCAGACAAGCAGTCGTATTTATAGGCTTCGCGCAGCCAAAAACAGACGATAAGAAAGAGTTAAGCAAAAAAATACTAAATACAAAACTTATTATTTCTAAAAGGAAACAAAAATAACTGATGGTTTAAATTTGTGTGTCCCGTAACAAGCTCAAATACATGGAAAAATAATAAAGTACAGGCTTTAAACAGTCCATATTATACTATTTTCTGATCTTATAATGTTGTTTCCTTGTCACAAACAGACCTGGAGTTGTGTTTTGTTTCATTCACACATGTTTAACACATAAATCCTGCATATTTAGGCTGAGTTCTTCTCCCAAACAGAAAATACTCCTTCTGATATCATGTAGTAACAGAAAGTACTGCAGTGTGTTTTTAAACTCCATGCACTTTGACTAGAATCATTTGGATAATTTCAGCCCTGGAATTGCCAATCTCTACTGAACTAAAGGCAAATACATACATAAATAAAACAAAACACAACTCTAGGTATATTTTTGATGAGGTAACAGCATTATAACATGGCTTAAACTTCACAAGAGTTAGTTTTGTGTCACATGGGCTCTTTAAGAATGCATAGAAAATCGCAGTCCTGACCTGAAAGTGTATGATCTTGGCGTACGTCTCTGTGATGGACTCGGCGTAGAACGGAGTGCACCCGAGCAGCATCTCATAGGCACAGACGCCCAGGGCCCACCAGTCGCACTCACAGCCGTAGCCCCCTCCTCCCTCGATGGCCCTCAGGATCTCAGGGGACAGATAGTCTGGGGTCCCCACCGCCACTGTCGAATGGATCTGAGGAAAGAAAGGAGCCAGAAAGTATTACAAGTCCATATTTAAAGGTGCTATAGCAGATTTTTTCCAACATATCTGAGGCATGTTTTATTTGTATTGTGCAGCACTTTGGAAACGCTATATAAATAACGTGGATTGGATTGTATTCTTTTCTTTTTATTTTAATTTTAAGTATTTATTTATTTATTTTTTTAAAACTTATTTTTATTAAATAATTTTGGTGCAAGCCACATAATTATGAAACAGCAGTAAAGATGCAATACAAGTAAAATGACAATAAAGTTACAGTATAGATACAGTCATACACATTGTCTCCTCATTTATCATTCATAATATACACTACACACACTACAACATAACAGAAAAAATCCTACAAAACAGAGTCATCCTTTTGAAATATAGGCCTGAATTGAAGACCATTTGTCCATGAATAAATCTGTCTTCATTTGTAACCTTGCACTTTTTTGCTCCATATGATATACATCCTTTATTTTATTTTTCCACTGGGTCATTGTGGGGGGCAGTGGCCTGAGCCAGGAGACCGTTATCAATTTTTTTGGCAATTAAAAGTAAAATTTTCAGCAAATGAAAATGTCTATTTGCTCTTAAGTAATTTGGGAAAATTCTCAACAGCACACTACATGGCTCTAATATAATTCTGATCCCCAAACAGTTTTCAATTTCACATTGCACGTCCCTCCAAAATGTTGTCAGTTTGATCCCCCACCAGACCACAGCTCCTCCAACATTTATCTGAGGTTCCACCAAACTGACATGTCATAAAAGGGGTTCTAAAGAATCTAATTTTAGTTTTCCATTCAAATTCACTTAGTACTGGGCTGTTTGTAATTTTATATCCCTCCTGAAGTGTCCGATCCCAGTCCTCATCTTTAATTATTGTGTTCATTTCTAAAACCCATTTCTCCTTAATATGTAGTGTGTGCTCTGTGGTAGCGTCTTGTAATATTTTGTAGATATGAGATATGTATTTGCTAGTAATAGATTTTTTAATCACCAATGCAAAAAAGATTTCTATATTTGTAGGTGTTTTTTTTTTAAGTATTTTTGAGCTATAAAACCACCTGTAATTTAATAAATGTAAAGTGTAGCTGCAGGTATCAGCTGCAAAGTACCAATTGACTTAGATGCACTATTCCCACTCACCAGGCCGTCCTCTGAGAGTCGCAGACATGAGCCAAAGTCTCCCAGTCTGATGTGTCCGTCTGCAGTCAGGAGGATGTTGTCTGGCTTGATGTCCCTGTGGTCCAATGGAGACAGACAAGACAAGATGATTGAACATGATTCACTTTAAAGGTCCTATATTATGCAAAATTGACTCTTGTGAGCTTTAAGCCATGTTAGAATGCTGTTATCTCATCAAAAACAGACCCAGAGTTGTGTCAGAGACTTTAAAACGGCTGTGTTTGTGTACAAGTCTCTCCATGGCCGTACATCTGTGACATGTTAGTGCCATATGAACCATCTCACACTCTGAGGAGCTCAGGGGCCGGCCTCCTGCTGATGTCCAGAGTCAGGACTAAACACTGGGAGTTAGAGTTTCAGATTCATGCAGCTAAAACCTGGAAAAGTCTTGACTCTGTTCAAACCAAGGCTCAAAATGGTTCTGTTTAGCTGCATATGACTGAAAAGTTTTAATTTTTCATTCCGCACTCTTCTCTCTCATTTATTGTTTCTCTCTCTTTTTAATTTTACAATCATCATTTATGTTTTGATTTGTCTGTATTGTAATTTTAATGTCTTTCTTATTCTGTAAAGCACTTTGAATTACTTTGTGTACGAATAAACTTGCCTTTCCTTGCCTTGCGTAAATCTTTTTTCTTAGTCTGTTTTTATCTCCAAAGCTCAAAATGTTCTATTCCACTTTGTGATGTCATGTAGAGGTAGTTTTCAAGTTAACAGCTACATTTTACCTTTTGTTCCGTAGAGATTTTCAATTCCAATCATCCAAATGATTCTAGTGAAAGTGTGTGGAGTTTAAAAACACAGTGGAGCTCTTCCTGTATTACCACATGACATCAGAAAGTGGAACAGTGTTTTCTGTTTGAGACAAACACGGAGCAAATACGCAGAGTTTGTGTGTTAAACATGTGTGAATGAAACTAAACAAAACTCCAGTGATGTTTGTGAAGAGGAAACAACTTTATAACAAATAGCGTAAAATGGGGCCAGTTCAAAAGATTTGTCTGGTCTTCTGACAGGCTAGAGTTGTATTTAGGCAGGCCAAGTTTATTTGTATTGCACAATTTGTACACAAAGTAATTCAAAGTGTTTTACAGAATAAAACATACATTAAAATCACAATACAAACTAGTTAAAACATAAAAAAGAGGAGAGTGCAGAATAAGAAATAGGAAAAATCCAGTGTAGCCTGCGGTCTCAAAAATCTGTATCATTCGTTCATTCGTTTTTCAAAATAAAACCAAAAGTAAGAAAACGTCTCCAAAACTAAAATGCAAAAATGTATAATGATTTGTTTTTTCAGTTTTCGATTTTGTGTTTAAATGAATAATGGAAAAAAAAAAAAAAACAGATAACGCCCGATTCCCGTTTCCGTGACTTAAAGTGCGATGCCGGACTTTTGCGCTGCATATGGACTGAACCAGGACTGAAACAGGACTAAAGCAGGGCTGAATGTTGGGACGGGCCCAGAGGTGCGCCCATGTAGACTGTGTCTCAGGACTGAGACCAGGTCCAGACCGGGACAGAGACTGGGACTGAGACCAGAACTGAGAAAAGGACTGAAAACGAGAACTGAAACCGGGACTAGATCGGGACCAGACTGGGACTGAGACCAGGACTGAGACTGGGAACTGAGAAAAGAACTGAAAACGAGAACTGAAACCGGGACTAGATCAGGACCAGAATGGAACTGAGACCAGGACTGAGACCAGGACCAGACTGGGCCCAGACCGGGACTAAGACCAGGACTGACACTGGGACCAGACCGAGACTGAGACCGGTACCTGGTTTAGACTTGGTTCAGTTCTGGTTTAAACCTAGTTCAGTCCTGGTTCAGTCCGGCATCGAAGTTTTAGTCACGGAAACTGGAACTGGACGTTTTGTCATTATTCATTTAAACACAAAATCAAAAATTGAAAAAAAACAACAACAAAAAAACCCCGAATCATTATTAGTTTTTCATTTTGGTTTTGGAGACAAATAACAAAGAAAATAGTTGTTTTTTCGTTTTCTTATTTTTGGTTTTATTTGAAAAACTAATGAACGATTGATACACGGATTCTCAAACACAAAATGTCCAATCGGATGAGTTTATTTCGGTGACGCGTGTGGTCTGACCTCACTTACTCACCTGTGCACATATCCCAGTCTGTGAACAGAGTCAATGGCCAGGACCATCTCCGCCAGGTAAAACTGAGCCATGTCTTCAGGCAGGCGATCTCCAAACTTACTGAGCAGCGTCAGGAGGTCCCCGCCCACGTAGTAATCCATCACCAGGTACTACAAATATACACGCACAAAAACTCAATGTCAAGCCAGACAATTACCCAGGATTATACAATATGTGTCCGGGCCAAGAGGCAGTGCATTTATGTGGATAATAAAAAGAAGGGGGACAAGAACTGAACTCTGTGGGACTCCTAAAGATAGAGTTTGGTTCTGAAACTTTACAGGGAAATTGGTTCATTCAACTTAGTGGAGAGTTTATAGCTGCAACAAAAGCAAACCCTAAAGTTGGGCGAGGTGTGTACTATTTATCACCACGTACTGCAAACACACACACAAAAACTCTGTTCATGTCAATCCAAACAATTAGCCAGGATAAAAAATATATCAAAATTTCAATATATGGTATCTTTTAATGCGATGACACAGTACTGATATTGTGGGCTGCTGTATCCAGAGGTGGGGACTTGCAAGTCGTGACTTGGACTTGAATCAGACTTGAGGCACTACTTTTAGGACTTGAGACTTGATGTGATAAAATGGACTAAGACTTGGGACTTGACTTGGACTTGAAGGTCAGTGACTTGGGACTTGAGGCCTGTGACTTCAGAAGATTTGATACTTCTCCTGAAAACATATATATTTTTAGAAAATACTTTTCTCTTTTCAGTTGATAAATGTGGTGCTGAATTTTACAGGAACATTGTAAATGTTCCTTAAATGTACTACAGTAATATACAGTACAGCACAGTAAAACAGAGGGAACTACAGAGAACATGATCCTTCCATTTCAGTGCAGACACATGACAAAATAACTGTTATTAAGCATTTTAAATCTGAATTCTTTCTATTCTGACAGTAATGATTTGCACGAAGATCTTGTCAAGACATTTAAAAAGGAAAAAATATTTCTACAACTCTTAAACAAATACTCATATAAATATACCATGAGTTTTTAAGTAAAATTTTAGTTTAAAGACTTGAAATGACTTGAAGCTTAAAGCAGACAACTTGGACTTGACTTGGACTTATGGACCAGTGACTCGAGACTCAATTTGACTTGGGACTTGACTCGGAATTGAGGTCAGAGATTTAAGACTTACTTGAGACTTGCAAAACAACGACTTGGTCCCATCTCTGGCTGTATCAATATATCGCCAACAGTATTTTTTGGTATATTTTACTAAATTATTTTGTTACAGCGCTACAGTTTTGTTGCTTGTTTAGAGGAAGTTAACTCGTTTATGCGACACATTTGATATTTTCACTGTTTTGATGATTAAAATGTTTGTGTTTGATATTAACTTTTCACAAGATGTGGTTTAACAAAGACTTTTAGTATCACAGTCACGATTTAGCCATTATTTTTTTTGTGAACAGTATTGAATCGATTTGAAATACATCGTATCGAACCGAAAGTGCACTGTATCGAAATATGTATCGTATCGTGACCTATGTATCGAGGCTTGTATTGTATCAGCAACTTCTTAATGATACCCAGCTCTAATGGTAATAGTAAAAAAGTAGAATAATAAGCTTTAAAGGTTCAAGGTTTTTTATTTGTCATTTAAAGAAGTGAGAAGAAACACATGAAAGAACGAAATGTGTTCCTTGAGGCCCAGTGATTAAGAGAGATAAAAACGATAATAAATAAGCAATATTAAAAAAAGTACATGAAGAGCATTCAGCAGTTCCAACAGTCAAGCAAAAGTGGAACGTGTGGTGAGACAGAGCGGCAGCCTGAGCAGGAAGTCAGTGTGTGCACCGTTCAGCTTCAAGTGAGTGGAGAGTTTATAGCTGCGACACAAGCAAACGCTGAAGTTGGGCCTGCTGTGGCTGTGTACTATTTATCACCAGATGCTGCAGACACACACAAACTCTGTTCACATCAGTCCAAAGAGCGCGAGAGTGTCCTAGTAGCATTTATAAAAAGAAGTGGCCCAAGAACTCAATCTTGTGGGACTCCTGATGAGGTTTTGTTTACATTTTTGTTTTCTTTTTTTTTTTTTTTTGTGCGTTCAGGAGGTGTTTACTAATGTGTGCATTGCGTCACCATGGTAACTGCTGTAGACAAAGCAGAGGTCGTTGTTTTGCAAGTCTCAAGTAAGTCTCAAGCCATTGCAAAAAAAAGCAAAAAGCAAAGCACCATAATATAGCTTAGATTTGTGCAATTTATAGGACATTTTAACTAGATTGTACTTAAAATGTTATGGTATATATGAGTATTTATATAGTGTATATGGCAAATTCTTGTCAAAATCTAGGTGTGAATCATTACACTCAGAACAGAAAGAATTCAGATTTAAAAGTGCTTAGTAACAGTAACTTTTGTCATGTAGTCTGCACTGAAATGGAAGGATCATGTTCTATGTAGTTCCCTGTTCTGCAAGGGTCTCCAACCTTTGTCCTATAGTGAGCAACTTTTATAAAACAAAAATGCCAGAGAGCTCCTCATTTTTGCGGTCACAAGAAGTTGAGCATATATAAGAGCCATGACAAGCCTTAGATTAAGTACAGTTAGATGCATATAAATCATAAACTGTTCAACATTTAACCATTAGTGTACAAAGTTAGGCATCAGGATGATAAGGGCACACGGGCAAAAGGCATTTAATTAAGCAAATTTTACTTATTCAGCACAATATGTATGATTCAGAAATGTCTTGGTGAGCCACTTGGAAGGGGGTGGAGAGCTACAGGTTGGAGACCCCTGCTGTACTGTATATTACTGTAGTACTTTTGAGGATACCATTAGGGCTGGGTATCATTAAGAAGTTGCTGATACGATACACACCTCGATACATAGGTCACGATACGATACATATCTCGATACAGTGCACTTTTGATTCGATACGATATATTTCAAATCAATTCGATACAGTTCAATAAAAAATAAAAGCTAAATCATGACTGTGACACTAAAAGTCTTTGTTAAACATCTTCTTGTGCAAAATGAATATGAAAAACACCCATTTTAATCATCAAAACAGTGAAAATGTCAAAGTTTTATTCCACTAAACAAGCAACAAAACTGTAGTTGTAACAAAATAATTAGTAAAATATAACAAAAATACTCTTGGCGATATATCATTACAGCCACCCACAATATCAATACTGTATCATCACATTCAAAGATACAATATATAGATATTTCGATATTTTTGCACACCCCTAGATACCATATCACAGTACTTCAGTGATATCCAAAGTAACAAATGGAGAAGTGAGAGGGACATGTTCCAATTAAGCACTGCATTTATCAACTGTAAGAGAAAAGTATTTTCTAAAAACATATATATTTTTAGGAGAAGTATCAAGTCTTCTCAAGTCACAGGGCTCAAGTCCAAGTCCCAAGTCACTGACCTTGAAATCCAAGTCGAGTCCCAAGTCTGAGTCCATTTTATCAAGTCAAGTCTCAAGTCCTAAAAATAGTGACTCAAGTCTGACTCAAGTCTCCACCTCTGCTCCAAAATATCAAAAAGTGAGCTGTACACCATTTGTCAAAGAAAAGAAAAAGAAACCTGTATGCTTTATAGAGTTAATGAGAATATTTGGTTAATCAGATGTTAAAATGGTGACTAAAGGAGGTCCATACCAGATAGTTGTCATCCTGAAAAGCGTAGTGCAGCTCTGTGATCCAGCGCCGGTCTCCTCTGAGCAACACCTCCCTCTCCTCCTGGTAACACGCTGTCTGCAAATCCAAAACATTTCCAAAACAGATTGTCAGCGTTTTCAATTGCAAATAAACAGTAAGGCGACATTGTTATTAAAGTTTGATCTCTGTTTGCGTTTACCTCTCCCCTCTGAAGCATGTCCCACTTGTTCATGATCTTCAGAGCGTAGACCTGCTGAGTGCTGCGCATCCGGGCCACAGCCACCTGAAGGGGATTAATGATCATATTTTGTAAAATTTGGATGTTTGACAGCGAGGTTTGAATTTATCAACGGTGGTTATATTCACATAAACACCAACGTTTGATTAATACCTTGTTTTTGGAACTTTATGGTTATCTAAATGACACGCAAACTACAAGGTGAGTAATCTGAGGGCCCATTCATAATATTTTAACTCAAAAAATCTGATAACAATTGGACAACATTGAGTGCGCATGTAACCAGTGCAGCCTGTGGTCAATTCTAATCTCATGGACCATGTTTGTTTTTATTATTACTTTGCCTGGGTAAATATGTATCATACTTTTAATACAGTTAAGTGACAGTTTGTGAGAAAGGACGTTGTGGTGAGTGCTAATACAGAATACTTCTTCCTATATCTTTGTCATCAATACTGAAAATTTCTTAACCTCTTTTAAAGGAGTTTGTGAAAAGAAATTCAAATCGCACAACAAGAGCAGCTCTAGAGGCGACTGCTCTGTGTCGTTTAGGAAAAGTGCGTTTGGACAAACTCTCTTTTGCTTCTGGAGCAGGTCAAACATGGAACACAGAGCAGCTCATATACGAGAACTTTCAACACTGGCAGCATTTTCTAAAACTTTAAAACAGTGGTTATTTAATGGTCAAATATTTCTCCATGTTTTACCAATTTACATTTTCATTTATATTGAGGGGTTGTTGGTCTAACTCTTGGTTTAACTCTTAAACTCATGGCTTCAACTTGAACTTCAAATGAACTGTTTGAAACTAATTGTATGTATAGTGAGTGTGTTGTGTGTATAGTGAGTGTGTTGTGTGTATAGTGAGTGTGCTGGTGTTATGTACTTATGTATGTGATTGTTGTTGTACTTTCCTTTGTCCTGTAGATGATTTTACATCAACCTGCCGAGGGACTGAAGATTGGAAATGAGCCACGTTGGCTATAATATTTACATATTTACATTTTTAATGTTCATTAATATGTACTGTCCCTTTACAAATAAATAAAATCAGAAATAAGAAATAACAGCAGAGCTATTGGAAGCATTGCATTCTCCATAGAACAGGACCCCACTACTCACAACAGCAGACCTGAGCATTGTACAGCTCCCACGCCACATACAGCCCTTTGGTTGACTCTGACCAGCTCATTTAAGATAATTTGAAATTATAAAATAAACATATTTTATCATTTTACCTCATGCATGGACTAAAGCTGCATTGCTTTTATTTTAGAGGTGTTTTTTTTTTTATTACATTTTTTGTAAGGCAGCCTCACTTTTTCATTGCTTAATCTTGCTATTTATGCTATTTATTAGGGATGTAACAATACCCGAAATATTGTGATATCGTATCGTCAAAAGTCTCACAATAATATCGTGGACTGTCACAATATATTGAATCACAAGTTCCTTTGCTTAAATGCATGGTTTTATAGTAGTAACAGCTTATAAAGATCTGGAACTACATATCCCATGATTCATTTCAGTTCAGACAACATGAAGAAATATGTTTTTTACTTGAATTTTACTTCACCTCGCTGAAGGTCCCTCGTCCAATCACCTTGAGGATGTGGAAGTCCTCCCTCTTGATCCTGGTCCTCTTCACTTGTCGGACCAGAGGCTCAGCTGTGGGACAGTAAACAAGAGTTTTATTTTACGGGCCTGTTTTTAGCCTTGACATCCAGAAGACAGACTCTGCATAAACAAACTCATATGTTCATGCAGCTGGATTCTCCACAAATGCCACAGTGTACTCTCTATTTTCAGCTATTGTTGTCTAATTTTGGATGGAAAACTCTCCGTTGCTTATCTGTCAACGTTGTTTTGATGAAAGCTGTCCAAATATGCACAGGGCCCCGTAATCCTCTAGGGGGCCTAATGCTGATTGTACAATTCTTTTTATAGCAGGGTTTTTATAAAGATGGGGTATTATGCGAAATAGACTTCTTGTTTGTCATTCCTGCATGCTTGTAATCTTGTGGTTTTCTCTTCAGGACAAGCCCACACCTCTAGTACATAAGCCCATGATCTCGTGCTGCCATTTTCCATAAATATACAAGAACAGGATGCAAAACAAAACACTACAACTTCACAAACCTGATGCAATGCAAAAACAGTGTTGTGAAGGTTACTTTTAAAATGTATTCCCCTACAGATTACAGATTACATACCTCAAAATGTAGTTTGTAACGGAATCCATTAAATTACTTAAAGTGAGTAACGTAATCTGAATACTTTGGATTACTTGATTTGATGTAGAGCAGCAAAGACGAGGATATCGTAACATAAGATGTTTTGTCTGATAAAAGAAAATAAAAAGCCCAGATTAAAAATATTATTGATAGAAGAGGAGGAGACACATCCACAAAGCATGGTTTAGTCCTATTTTAGTCTTGGTTTAATTCTGGTTTAGCTCTGGTTTAGACCTGTTTTAATCCTGCTTTAGTCCTGGTTTAGTCCTGATTTAGTCCTATTTTAGTATTGGTTTAGTTCTGGTTTTAGTCCTATTTTAGTCTTGTTTTAGTCCTGTTTTAGTCCTGTTTTAGTCCTGGTTTAGTCCTGGTTTAGTCCTGGTTTCGACCTGGTTTCGACCTGGTTTCGACCTGGTTTTTTACTGGTTTAGTCCTGGTTTAGTCCTGGTTTTACCTGGTTTCGACCTGGTTTCGACCTGGTTTAGTCCTGGTTTAGTCCTGATTTAGTCCTATTTTAGTCCTATTTTAGTCTTGGTTTAGTTCTGGTTTTAGTCCTGTTTTAGTCCTGGTTTAAACCTGGTTTAGACCTGTTTTAATCCTGGTTTAGTCCTGGTTTACTTCTGATTTAGTCCTATTTTAGTCTTGGTTTAATTCTGGTTTAATTCTGGTTATAGTCCTGTTTTAGTCCTGGTTTAGTCCTGATTTAGTCCTATTTTAGTCCTATTTTAGTATTGGTTTAGTTCTGGTTTTAGTCCTGGTTTAGTCTTGGTTTCGACCTGGTTTCGACCTGGTTTCGACCTGTTTTAGTCCTGGTTTAGTCCTGTTTTAGTCCTATTTTAGTCCTATTATAGTCTTGGTTTAATTCTGGTTTTAGTCCTGTTTTAGTCCTGATTTAGTCCTATTTTAGTCCTATTTTAGTATTGGTTTAGTTCTGGTTTTAGTCCTATTTTAGTCTTGTTTTAGTCCTGGTTTAGTCCTGGTTTCGACCTGGTTTATTCCTGATTTAGTCCTATTTTAGTCCTGTTTTAGTCTTGGTTTAATTCTGGTTTAATTCTGGTTTTAGTCCTGTTTTAGTCCTGGTTTTAGACCTGGTTTAGACCTGGTTTGAGTGGAATTACCGAAATAAAAAAAAAAAAAAAAGGGATATAGCCCAAAATGTGAAAACAGGAAAATACCGCCGTGTAATCCATTTATTTCAACAAAGTAACTGTAATCCAATTATCACTCATTCATAGATTAATTGTAACTGAATACAGTTCATTTGTACTCTGATTACGTAACTCCGGTACATGTAATCTGTTACTCCCCAACACTGACTCTAAATTGGGTGTTTTGAAAGACACTATTGAACTCCAGTGGTTAATAGTTCTTATAATAATCATTTTAACTAAATAATCTATCTCTTAATGCAAGAAACGTCTGTCTGTGTGTCCTAAGGTTTGTTTGTTTATCTTTTCCATGCATAACTCTTGAACCGCTCATCCGCCTGATCTCAAATTCGGAGGGTTTTATCCCGATGGTACGGGTGTGTGCAGTGTCAGTTTTCATGTTGTTAGGGTCATGTTGTTAGCTGTCTCCTTGATTTCTGGGGGCTTAATTGACAGGTGGATCAACCAATCAGAGAGACGCATGCTCAAACATGGCTGCTGACACATCAAGAAGGAGACTGAGAAAGAGTGTGAATTTTTATAGTCAACAACAACAATAGAAGCACCAAACTATAAAAGTACAAGAAGTTATATAGTCCAATGAGGTTTATTCGGTCTTCTCATAATTTATGTTATTAGGTTCTTTTTTCAGACCGGGAGTTTGTTTTCATACCTGATAGTTTCTACTGCTCACGTGATGTTGCTGTGATGTATCTGGTTTATACACACACTTGGGATACTGTCCTGAGGAAGTCGAACTGCAGATGGCGCTGTCGTCCTGCCTCCGCTGGTTGGAGGACGGCGCCAAAACCTGTTTAAATCAGCTGACCGAACACGTCACAGCAACATCACGTGACCACTCTGAGGAAGTCCGGTAGTGAGCAGTCGAAACTGTCAGGTATGAAAAAAGAACCTAATAACATAAAGAACTTATTTATTTTGTTCTGAATTTTACCAGAATTTTCAATAGGAGATGTCTTCCGCATTTGGACGGAGGTTTTTCACTCTCTATGGCTGTGTTCAGACTGCAGGGCTTAATGCTCAATTCAGATTATTTTGTGAAATCTGATTTTTTTGCGAGGTTGTTCACATTTCCAGTTAAATGCGACTTGTGTGTGATCTCCAGTGTGAACTTTAAACACTCCAAAAGTGTCTCGCATGAGCACTGGAGGACACAACTCAGTGTTTACAGAAGTCGCCTAAACTCTGGGCTTGTCTCCCAAAATGCGGTACAGTTCTTGGTAAAATGGGTAAGTTAAACGTCCACGGCCGCTTCTTTTGTTTGAGTCTTTATTGAGCCTTGTATTTGTTCGCAGGCTCTTTATTTTTCGTCAGCATTGGAGCCAGGATCGCCTGTAGCCGTGCTCGGACATTTCTTTGGCAATCATTACAAAAACTGCTCGGTTCTTATAAGACCCCTCCAGTTCGGCCTGAATACAGCGATCCCCCAAATATGAATGAACTCGCTAACCTCGCATTCCCTCCATTGATAGACTCCGAGCCTGACGTGTAGGTGGATGAATGCGACCTGGCTGTTCAGACTGAAGTCGCATGTCAAAAGATCGGATATGTATCAGTTTTAGGAGCACATATCCAAGTGTCCTGGGTCGCATTTGAAAAAATCAGATCTGTGTCGTTCAAACTGTCATTAAAAGATCAGAATCAGGTGACATAGGGGCGAAAAAATCAGATTTGGGTCACTTCAGGCTGCAGTTTGAAAAGAAAGATTGAGTTCTGTTCTGTGAATGTGTACTTTTTTAGTATCAATACCTGATACCTGATTTCCGATACTTTAGTCAACCCTAATGGGGCCATACAAAAGTCTGACCAGCCCTGCTCCTTGTTCTAGTATTTTCCAGTGAAGATGACTTGCTGGCCATAAAGGGAGTTCCTCTTGGACTCTACTGTCTGTCTGCGGGGTCGCCTAAAAATAGCAGCCATTATTCTTGAATCCTGGCATATTTTCCAGCCCTATATTTTTATTATCATTCCACCTCCTCTGCTCCGTGAGACGAAAAGTGTGTCAGAGGTCCAAGAGTGTAAACGGCAGGAAGAGAGAGGGATACTTTCCAACACCTGGGTTTGTAAAAGAGGATCTGTTTAAAGTTGTTTTTACTAAATTAAGTCTGGGGAAGTGCCAAGCCCCATAGAATGAATCATATTATAACAACACAACAAAACAGACACTAAAGTACAAGTATTTGAATTTGATTTTTCCTGTCTTAAAAATGTGAAAAATACAACTAGTTCATTTTAAAGGGCCTATGTTACTCTATTTTCTGATCTGTTATAACTGTTGTGGAAAAAATTGTGTATTTCTTGATGATGGTAAATAATTAATCCATTTGCGAATTCCAGTGAGTTTTTGGAATACAGACAAAGGTTTATTCTTTAGTCCCTACTAAATTTGCCCCAAGACCAAATGTGTTTCTAAAAGATTTAACAGTTTTTATTTAATCAATCATAATTAATATTTTCTAGTGGGGGTCTGGTCTCGGGTACAAATCACATTCATTCATTTGTGTGTCAAAGAATCTCCAAACTCATATAATCGAGTTGAAACAATAAAACTTAATAAAGTTTATTTTGGGATATTTATGTATATATAGATATATAAGCTATTAAGTATATCTATTTTTTTATTTAATTATCGAGATTGTAGAACAGCTGGATATATATAGTTTATTTTGGATACATTTATGTTTTTCTATGCCTTATTTTATGTTCAGAGTATATTTGAATCATTTTTGTTAGTTTTACATGACGCAAAACTGCTCTAAGGTACAGATTTGTAGCCTACATTTATTGTCAATTTAAAAGTTGAAGTTATCAATAACAAAGTGTTGTTTTTTTCTTTTTGAGAGCGAGAAATGCTCAATAAATGCATTGTGAAAAAATTATCTTTTGAACCAAAAATAATCGTGATGATTTTTTCCTAATATGTATTGAGCTTAATTACTAAAATCTGATTAATTACCATTGTAAATGTCTCATTTTGATACGTAACTTGTGCACTAATAAATGGATATTTTTTATTTATGTTTATGTTTAATAGGCTTGTAACTGATGCTTGCCATGGCTCTACTTTCTCAGTTTCTTGAGGTCTAAATGAGCAGCTCTCTGGCATTTACATTTAATAAAGGCTCACCGGAGGAAAATATGTTGGAGACACCTGTTTTATAGGAGCTGTATGAAAGATTTTGAATTTAAATTCCCTAAATATGACCAAACTATGTCCCAGAGTATAACCAGTAATTATTATAATACTGATTTATTCATAGTTACA